AGGGTTTGAGATCAGTGGTTTTCATTTACGTACTGCAAGCTGCTTGTAGTTAGTGTCTTGCATAGAATTGCATTCATTTAAGCTCAAAAAGGCATGACTAATCTGAATGAGGGTGTGATTAATCTTTGGCATTGGTATTTGCAGCTTTTGACCCTTATCTTTTTAAGACTGCAAAATAAAAAGCTAAATGGAAAGCTTATATAACTGCTGAAGGAAGGGTCTGTATTTGAGGCTGAGGTCTCAGTGCAGTGTCATTTATTCTGGAATTCATTTACATTGTTTGTCTAAGTCAAGAGAATCTAAGTTTGATCATCTAAGCATGTTTTAAGAACTGTATGCTTGTTCAGGTTCTTTTACTTTTAACTGGAGAGGACTTCAGCTGTATGAGGGAAGGAGTTTGGAATTTGAGTTGGGTTTAATCCAACATCATTTGGAAAAGCAGGATGTCTGGATTCAGTTTCTGGTCTAGATCTCGCTTTACAAGGTACTGGAAATCCACGAGTGTTTATGGCATATGACTTTTCACCTACCCTGAAATGTGATCTGCATGCCATGCCTAGGGTTAAAACTCCCTCTTTCCTTCCAGGGGTGTGATTTTATTAAAGCATTGATTTTATTTATTTCTTTATTCCCCTTCCCTCCTCCGCTATTTTAAAATGTAAATAAGAGATTAAAAGTGTACTTATGTATATGTATGAAAGTCCGTAAGACAAAGAAAAATATTCTAACCATTTGGAGAAAAAAAAAAGCACAACATATGAAAATAAAGTTGAGGTGTTCATCATGGTCCCATTAACCACCCAGCTGCCAGTATGTAGTGTGGAAATACCCATCGGAGGTTTTTGTGACGAGAACAACCTTCCATTGAGCCAAATCCTACTCTACCAATTAGGTATTTAAGTGTGATTATATTCTACTTTGCTTAGTCCCTGGGTGCTTCTTCTTGCTGCTCTTTTGTGACTTAATCTGAAGGCTAAGATGGCAGCACTTTTATATAAGTAAATGTATTCATGGATGTTTAGGGATTTGAGAAGGGTAGAATAGGTTCCCACTTAGAAGCCTAAATACATTTGGGCTTCTAGGCTAGGGAGTGACATTCAAAAAGCCTGAGCCTGAATTGATTCAATCCTTGCAGGTTAGTTTAACCTGCCTAGAATGAATCAGTTTGTAACTGCATAGACATTCCCTCTGGACTCAAAAAATGCAGGCACATGCCTGCACTGGCTCAGGCTAGAAGCTAGGGAGTGCTAGAGCAGCCCTGCCTTCCCTTCCACAGTGCTGAGCTGAGGTGGAAGTGGCTAGACCCCAGCAGAATGCTCTGATTAGGGAGGGGTGTCCCCCCCTTGCTGGTAAGCAAAGGAGCCAGCCAGCATTTGCATGCATAGCATTTAGTAGGGGTGCACCCATAGAGACTTTGGGGGCTGATATCGATGGCCAATTTTTAAGGAGGCATATCGGCCAATACCAATCCAATACAGCCCCACTCCCTCCCTTACCACAGGGGCCTTGACCTGCCCCCCCCCCATGCCCCTTCCTTTCCCCCTCCCCTTCCACCACAACAGACCAGCTGCACTCAGCTCTCCACGCTGCCAGGCTATGCTCCTCACTGCCTATGTGCTGTGCTGCAGCTGAGTGCATGCACGGGCATTTATCGGCCAAATTATTGGCCACATCAGGCTGATTTCCAATGCAGTAAATTTTCTTTATATTGGTGCTGATCCGATATCGGATTGATGTATCGGTGTACCTCTAGCATTTAGTTACATAGCAGGGAGCATTTATCACCCCATCAGCAAAACGAAAGGTCCTCTCATTAGTTCAAGCTGTTCTTAACTTGTTCCAAAGAAGGATGGAGGGACATTACCTGTTGATTAGCTCTGAAGAGCCCTGAGTGGTACAGTCCTGTCTGCCTTTGTCCTGTCTGCCACAGCGCTGACCATAGCCAGCATGTAGCATGCTAGCAAATGCTGAGAAATCTGTGTAAGAGGGAAGGGGGGATCCCTGCTCAGCAGGGAGTTGTGAAGGTGGGGAGGAGCAGGAGGAAGCCAAACAGATGCCTGAAGTCTCTGCCAGAGCTCCAGCCAGAGAGCAGAGGGGAGGGGCCAGCTCTGCTGTGAAGCAGGGAGCCCCACCCAGCCTAGAGAACATGCCGGGATGCTGGGGGAGTGTGGTTTAATTTGAACCAGGAAGGGCTGTTTGAGACAGACATTGCATAAACCGGTTTGAGCCAAATCAGTTGATTCTGATTCTACATTGACCCAGGTGCATCTCAAACTGGTTTCAGCCATTTTCCAACTGGTTTATGGTCAGTGAACATCTATTCTGTTACAGGTTTAAACCAGTTTCTGATCACCTAAACCAGTTTGTGTAATGTCTGTCCCTAGCCATAATGGTGGAATAGGATCAGGTTTCACGTGCCTTTTATCTTCAGTACTACATCAGGCAGGTAGTGGTCTGGCTCTTAGTCCCTAGGACTGACCCTTTCTAGAACATCACAATATTCTACAATAATATTGTTAAACTACATGGTAGCATTGCATTTGTGCCTGTTTTTTTTTTTTTTTAACATTGTCAAAGTTGTCTTTGTAGTTGAGAGGGTGGCTGAGAGTGATGCCAAAGAAAACCAGCATTTGGCTTAAAAATCAATCTTTCTACTTAAAAACCCGTAAGCTCCTACAAAGTTTATTCCTTCAGTATACCTAGGCAGGAAATACAATACTGTCTTAATTGTGATGATCTTGCACTTTCAGGGACTTCCAGTGTGTAGGTCCTAGCTCTGTATCTCCATGCTGATGTTGTAGGAGCCACCCATTCATTTATGCTTGGAATTTAAATAGTCACCACATCATGTATAAAATGGTTGAAAAATGACTCTGATCTACATTTAAATATACGAGAGCTTTCAAATGGGTCTTTTGCTTCCTTAAGATGCTTTTTTATAGACCTGTTTGTTCAGGGTTTCATTTCAATTTACCTCTTGAACAGGAAAATCCAACTTCTTCTATAGAAATGTGTGTGTGTGTGTGTGTGTGTATATACATTTTTTTTTTTCAATTTATAATCAATGGGCTTGGTACATAATTTAGTACTACCATATTTACTCTCATAAAACACATACCTTTTCCCCCCAAACATAGCTGTCCAAAATTGGTGTGCAAGTCATAAGTAGAGAAGCATGGAGATGTGGTGTGATGGCTGTTGTGATTCTCTTCCTGCAGGGTGTAGGAAGGGAGGGGCAGAGTTCACTATTCAGGATTAGAGCTACAGCATTAACCCTTTCACAGCCACTGCTGAATTGGCAGCAGCTTAGCCCTGTGAGAGACATGACACTGTAGCTTTTGTTAACAGTACAGAATGTACACTGCCTGTGGTCAAGACTAGACCATGACTCTGGAAAAATCGTTTTTCCATCATTCTCCCTTTCCAAACAGGTGTGTGTTTATTTTGGGATGTGTGGTATGCAAAAAAAATATGGTATGTACATGCCTGATTCATTCTGATGGATATTAGTAGGCAATATGCACTAACCTCAATGTGTCATATATATAGTAATCATACTTTTAGGTATAATGTATTACCTCTTAATGTATTACCTCTTAGCTTCTGATTTTGGAGTTCTCAAGTTTTTACTTTTTGTGGGCTTTTGTTAAGCTGAAAAGGGTCAGCAAACGTTTGACTGCTGGCTGAAGTTTTTCCAAATTTTGGAAATTTTTCCCCCCAGTTTTTTAAAATTAAAAACTGTTGTTAACAATCATCAGAAAGAATATGCAAGGTTTGGTGTTTTTCCATACAACTACTAAAAATAATCCTAGCTTTAGACCAGCTATAAAGTATTTGTTCATGCTTTAAAAATACCTAGTCAGAACTTTTTCAGTGCAGTTTTTATTTTAATATTTTTAGTACTTTTAAAGCCTGTGGGCCTTCTCCTTGTTGGTTTTCTTTGCTAGTGGAATTTTATAAGGGAAATGGCAGACCAGGTTCTTTATCTGTGGTTGTCAACTTACATTCAGGAAAAGGCTGTATTTTCCCCAAATTTGAACTTGAAAATATGACATTGGTTCGTGTGCAGGGTTGACTTATAATTGGAACAATATGATAACTTTATTTAGCTGCTTGAAAACTTGTTTTGTGATTGAACATAGCAGGAACTAAATATAGTGCCTTTTTATTTGAAAAAAAAACACTATAATGTTTGTATTATTCCTCTCAAGGCATAAAGCACATATTGTAGTCTTGGATTTTCATTTCACTAACCTGTATGCTGCATGCCATATGTTGTCACTTGCTAATAAAATGATCAGGGATCATTTGTTTTGTTTGCCAGAATGTAGAGTAGTGCAAGAAATATCCCTGGTCAAGGCCAGTGTGGATATAGGACACAGGTAGCTGTACATTTGTGAGGATTTGTTAACTGTATACATAGTCATGTCTAGAGACTACATGTTTCTGAAAGCGGTTAGGTTTAAAGGATAACTTCAAATAAATTGTCATAACCTAAACTGTAAACATTTGTCATCGTGGCTTCTAATTCAAGAAACTGATATGTTGAGTTCCGTTTTTAGCACTGACACATGCACACGCACACACGCAAAGTCAACCAGTCTTGTCAGTCAACCAGGATTTAACTGGCCATGCGATTATTGGGCACTTCTCAACCATTTTGATACTGGACAGGGTCACTTCACCTCAAACCTATATAAGATGACTGAAACAATAGGCTGAAACTTCATACGCTAAATGAAATGAAATGGCTTTTGGATATTTTTACTGCATTGACACAGAACGGCCAATGTTTCTTTCACCTTGTCTATTCTATGGGTGGGAATTTGACAAGACAGGGTATGAAACTGAAAGGAGAGTTCTGAGTGAGAGGATAATTTGTTCTCTTTTAGTATGAAAGTAAACTCTCTGTTTGAATATATTAAAGAAAACAATGAGAACCAGATTTTTTTTCAATTGTGCTATACCTCGCTCATTACTTTTCATATTTTGTTTTTCAGCCAGAAAATTTACAGAAGAACTGGCTTCGGGAATTTTACCAGGTATGGTAAGAAAATACTCCATAAAGTTCTAAAATGTATATTTCTTTAGTTCATCATTTTTAGGCAAAGATTGATTGTTTTCCTCAATTGATAGCTAGACTGATCTTAGCTATTTTGTGATGAAGGTAGGGAGGCATGTTTTTACTTAGGCAAATCCCAAGCTCAGGTGTTTTATCTCTGTTAGCATGCATAAAATAATTATGAATCTTCCTAAGTTTCCAACAAATGTTTACAGAAGTCTGGAGTATTTACCCTTATCAAGGCTCAGTTACCGCACTCTAAATAAACATGACAACATATTACAACAGGGGTTGTCAACTGGGAGTACGCGGAAAGGGGCTAGGGGATATGCATGGGCAGGCAGGGATGGAGTGCCACCACCCACCACCCCATGCCACTGCCACCTCCCAGGAGCTAGGGGAGGGTGTGGGGGAGGGCAGCAATTCCCCTCTGTGGGCTGCACGGGCACCACCTGGCTAGCTGGAGGGTCCCACCCCAGCTGGCGATGACCATTCTTTCTGGCAAGAGCATGAAGTGGATGTGGTGGGGAGGAAGAGTTTGCACACAGCAGTGGTGACTGCCATCCACCACCCCATGCTGCCGCCACTGCCTGCAACCCTCCCCCACTCTGCATCTGGCTGCCTCCTCCCCTCCCCCGCTCTACCAGAAGTGTACCCAGAAGGGATACACTCCTTAAAAAAAAGGTTGAAAACCCCTGTATTACAAAATAATTTCTTTTGGCATTAGCTCAGTGCAAAAATATTGTCTTTAAGCTTTGAGAGAGAGGATTTTATTAGCATGGAAAGAGAAAAAAAACTCTAAAATGTTGGATACAAGTATAGGTTTACACTTGTATTGGCCAATGAAGTCTTATAATTTTAGCATGAAAGAAGATTGTCTACAGGTTGTCTGACCTTTTAGCTTCTCTCCCCTTTGAAGTTAACAGATTTTGTGAGGGCCAAGATTTCAAAGCTATCTTTCTTTTACAATAGAAAAAAGGTCCCACCCCAGCTGGAGATGACCATTCTTGATGGCAGGAGCATGAAGCAGAGCTTCACAACTGGCTTAGTTATGAAAGAAGATTAAAGGAGCTGAGATAAGATTATGGAGGAGATGCAGAAAGGGGAATTCTGGCTGTCCAGTAAGAGGGCGTGATATGTGGAGTTATGCTTACTGTCCCTAAATTGCAGACCTACATGGAAAGTGTTTAGTATTTTCCATGTTTGCCGGTTGCTTGGGGCTAGGAAGGGTTTTTTTGCCCTTTCCTGTTGTCATAGGCCGCAAGGTTTTGTTTTTTGGTTGTTTTTTTTTTTTTCCCCCCCACCTTCCTCAGAAGCACTGAGTGTTGGTTGCAGTCAGTGCTGGGGATTTTTATTGGGGTGTGCCAGTGCTCCTGCTGGGACCAAAATCCAGAGATTTCTGGCTAAATGGTCTTTCCCCTCTGCTCAGGGTCAGACAGATCGCCACATTAGGAATCAGGAAAGAATTTTACCCAATGGTCAGATTGGAACTGACTATGGGGTTTTTTTTGCCTTCCTCTGTCAAGGGGGACATGGCTTTTTCTGTTTAATTTCTTGAGCATATTTTAACAAACCCTTGTAGCAGCAGGATACTAACCACCCTTGTCCCCTTGCTTTACCTGTGGCAGGTTAAGGTGCTAAACGTTGTAGTTGTCTTTGGAAATGTACTTTCTATGAGTTGGATTCACTAGACTAGGAAAGCTTCCCATATTATGATTATTTGAGTTGGAGTAGGGTTATAGGAAAGTAGGGGAGGAAGGGATCTCACAAGGTCATCTAGTCCAGGCCCCTGCTCAAGGCATAATCATCCCTGACTAAACCATTCTAGCTTGTCCAGCCTGTTCTTGGGATGGCAATTCCACAGCTTCTTGAGTCTGTTCCAGTACTTGACTACCCCGATACATGGAAAGTTCCTCCTAATCTCCAACCTAAATTTCTTTTTCTCCTAGTGAGAAAATTCTTCCTAATTTCTAACCTAAACTTCCCTTGCTGCAACTTGAGGCTGTTGCTCCTTGTTTTGTCATCTGCCACTACTGAGAACATTTTATCTCCATTCTCTTTTGAAACCCCCCTTTAGGTAGTTGAAGGCTGCTATTAAATCTCCCCTCAGTTTCCCCTTGTCTAAGCTAAACTAAATAAGCCCAGTTCCCTCAGTCTTTCCTCATAAGTCATGTCCTCCAGCCCTCATCATTTTTGTCACCCTCCGCTGGACTTTCTCCAATTTGTCCACATCCTTTCTGTAGTTGGGGGGGGGGGGCCAGGTGAGTAAAAGCTGAACATAGTGGCCTTACCAGTGCTGAATAGAGAGGAATAATCACTTTGCTTGACCTACTGGCAGCATACCTACCAGTGCAGCCCAGTATGCTGTTTAGCCTTCTTGGTAACAAGGGCAAACTGTTGGCTAATATTCATATTATTCTCCACTGTAACCCCCAGGTCCTTTTCTGCAGAGCTGCTGCCCAGCCAGTCAGCCCCCAGCCTGTACTGGTACATCTTTCCATCCTAGAGCAGGGGCAGGCAATTATTTTGGGTGGAGGGCCGCATGCTAAACTTTGGCAAGCCATCAAGGGCCACATGACAGGCAGCCCGGGGCAGACCAATATTAATTTTCTAAAATTTTTAGGAGCCCCGTGGGCCAGATAGAATGGCCTGGTGGGCCACATTTTGCCCATCCCTGTCCTAGATTATTCTGAAGACTGTTATGAAATCCCTCCTCAGTCTTCTATTCTCTTGGCTGAATAACCCTAGTTCTTTCAGCCTTTTCTTATAAGTCTTGCCTTCCAGGACCATAATAGTTTTTGTTGCTCTGTGCTGGACTCTCTCCAAACAACAGCATGCTATTGGCTCATGTTTAGCTTTATGTTGTACTGTAACCCCCAGGTCCTTCTCTCCTGTACTGCAGCCTAGCCAATCATTCTCCAGTCTTTATTTTTGCATGTAATTATTCCATCCCAAGGGCAGAACTTTGTTCTTGTTGAATCTCATCTGATTGATTGTAAACCAGTTCTCCAGTCTATCCAGATCATTCTGATTGTTTACCCTGCCCTCCAGATGTCTACAGTTTCACCCAACTTGGATATCATCCTCAACTTTGCTAAGTACGAACTCAGTCTCATCGTCCAGTCATTAATAAAGATATTGAACAGTATCGGACTAGTTATGCATCCATGTTACAGTACTTTCATCTAGTCCGTATTTCCTTAGCTTGTTAATGAGGATGTCATGGGAGATAGTCAAGCCTTGCTAAAGTCAAGGTATATCACATCCACTGCTCTCCCCCCATGCATAGTGCATATTTGTCCCAGAGCACTGAAGAAACAGTTTTTAAAATGCAGGGAACTTACCATGTATTTATTTCCTATGACAAATTATTTTAGCATAGATTTAATGTAATTTAATATAGTACTCATTAATTTGCATATGCTTAAATAACTCCCAAAGGCTTCTATTTTTCTTCTCTCCCTTGTGGTACAGAGAACAATCATTGGGTAGGGGAGCAGGTCAGAAGGGAATAGGGATGTGTGCCTTAAAGTTAACTAGCATCCAGACGTATTGCCATTTACCTGAACCCAATATGACTTTGAATTTAAAACAACAACCAGTAATTAGATTCTATAAATGGAAAATTATAAATGTGTTATAGTATTCCATGTATCAAATTTAATTAGTGAAAGGTCATCTTAAATTTCTCCCCCACGCTGCTGTGGCAGGGAAAGCAGCAGTGGGAGGTCATGGACCAGATCCCTGTCCTTGCTCCCCTACTCCTCGACCTCCTTACTTGCCTCCTACCACATACCCCCTGCTGCCTGTTCCCCCTTCTGTTTGCCCCCCGCCCAGTGCTTGCCCTCTGCCATGTACCTGCTTGTTTCCTTTCCCTGCCATACCTGTACCAGCTCCTCTAGTCCCTGCTCCCTCTTGTAGCCTTCACCTTTTCCTCTTGCCCCCATGTGTCTATACCTGATCCCTGCCACCTGTCTTCCCCTTTCCTCCCCCACTGTTTACTAGGGATGTAAATATTGTCTTAAAATTATCTGTTTAACCTCCTCTAATTATACCAGTTAAACGGTTAACTGATAATATGCCAGCTTGGACCTGGCTGCTTCTGAGAGCCCTTCCTCAGGGCCTTTGGGGGGGTGGGGAGGAGGGGTGGTGGCAAGCCTGGCCAGACAACACTGCCCATTTGAAGCCACAGCAGCAGCAGGCAAGGAGATTTCCCAGCCTGGTGCAGCTTCTGGAAGGGAGGGAGCACCTGTGAACAAGCAGCTAATTGCTTAATTGATGAATCCTTAGGCTACCTGCTGTTTTCTTTAACCTCACAGACTATGGGTACTAGTCCCCCTCCTTGCCCCTCCTCCTCAGCCTCCCTCCCTCCTTCCTGCCAGCTCTGCTGCCTTTCTGTTCCTGAGGCACTACACCACTTCCCTTCCCTGCTAGACTGCACACCACACTAAATGTTAACCAGTTATGCATTACCAATATAAATCTACTCATTTAAATGTTTAACCTTTCATGTTCCTACTGCTTACCTTCAGCTGCAGTTCTGCTCTGGTTCTGTGACTGTGAGAGACAGCCCCAAACCATCCTGGCCAGGGGGAAGCGACAGCAGATCCCAGACAAGCTGGTTCAGGGCTGCAGGGACTGGAGCCAGAGCAGAATGTAGGGTTAGGGGGAGGTGCAGCTGGTGGGGGCAGACTGCATGGTATCCCCTGCACTCCCCTTGAGCCACATGTACAAATCCCCCTGTTTTCCCCCACTCCTCCCTACAGTCTCCCTCATGTTCCCCCAGCTGCCCCCGCCCCCCCCTCCTTGCACCAAATGAGACATCCTGGCCTAGGGCAGGCAGCAGCTCAACACTGGCTTCAGCCCCGAGCCTGAGGCCAAAGATTAGTTTAGCTGCCTCTTGCCCTAGGCTGGTACTCAAATCCAAAATAAGGTATTTGCTTTTCCCTCCCCTTTTTTTTCCCCTTTTGCTCCCCCCCC